AAACTCAGAAAGGGGGCCGGTGTGACGTCGGTTTGCACTGCCATGTCAAGATGCACTGCCTCAGCTGTTTATGAAACTTTGACTTCTAAAATCCACATATTACAACATGGAACTATCAACATCTCGCCTCGAACTGCATTAAAAGTGACATTTGTGTCTTAATATTTAAACTTTTAAAGCAATTGACAGACTTTATGTCCGCCATCTTGGTTTGCTTTGGCTGCCGTGAGAAGCACATGCGCAGGTTTGCATTACATAATAAACAGCTGAGGCAGTGAATCTCTGTCAAAATGACGTTACACCGGGATTTGAACCCAGGAAATTCTTGCTGAGAAGCGAGAGTGCCATCAGCCACCGTGTGACCTCTGATGGGTGCTCTGGGTGTTAAAATTGCCAGCTCACCCTGTATCCCTTGAGATGTCCACGCAGCAGCTTGGCCGGCACCGCGTCCCAAAGCACAGCGGCCTGAGTGCCGCTTATCACCTGGACCTGGATATTGTCAGGAGCCGCTAAAGGCACTGAAAAAAACAAACAGAAAGAAATACACAGAGTTATGCAAACAAAATCATCACTGCAGGCCGTTGTTTTGGCCGGACCTCAGAAGACAGATCTACTCACAGTCTTCTCCCGAGTAACCGTGGGCGATGGCCGGCTCGGGTCCTGCTCCGTGGTCGTTGATGGCCTGGACTTTCAGCTCATACTCGGCGAATGTGGGCGTCCCAGAAACCACAAACTTGGAGGTGTTGCGCACAGTCACTGCCGTCCAGTCGGTCTCCACTCTCGTCTGCCTCCACATGACTCTGTAGTGCAGCCCGGGGCCGTTGGACTGGGTGGCTGTGAGCGGCTGCAGAGAATTAAAACTCTAGGTCATCGAATATCACCCCTCAATAATTCATTACTTTTCATTCCATGTGTGAAAGCGGGAGATTAAAATACGTCTGATCTCCTGGCTACCCTCTAACAAGCCTAGACATGTAGCATTTACCTTCCAGGATATCACAAGATTGTCGTGCTCAGTGCCTTCTCCGTGTACATCAGCTGGGTTATCATCTGGAGCTAAAGAGAAACACAAACCACACATTTCCACTTCATTTATAGAGCACAATTATATAAAACATGTTTCCAAAGTGCTGCACAGATAAAAGTAACAAAAGTATAAAAGTCTACCAGATTTAAAAACAAAACAAAATGTTAGTGACACATGCATGTTAAAGCTGGGGTACCTAACTTCCAGACCACACAAATGTGATGTAATAAACTCCATCTCACTGGTTCTCAAAACAGTTTGGCACTATCACTAAAGTTTTCACAATTTCGCTCAGCTTTTTCCAGACAGAAAAGTTAAAAAGAGAGGACCAACCTCTGTCATGGCTCAGCTTTTAGCCCAAATCCCCAAATTATGACTCAAAGGGCTCTTTACTAACATGTTTTCAAATAAGATTAAGACGGTCTAATTTGTCCACAATTTGACCTTCACAAGACTATTTTTGTCGGGACAAACCAAATTGAATATATAGGAGATTAAAATGTTATTAATCAATCTTTATTTGTCCCACAGCGAGGAAATGTCAGTGTTGCATCACCGGTTACAGAACAGTAGGAGGAGCACACAACACAAGACAAATGAACAACAACTCTGTGAAAAAATAAAATCTCTAACTTTAGCAAAAAAGGAGAAGAGGATGAGCGTAGCCTCTGTACCTGCGGCCTCTGTCTTGTACATGCGGGAGGGGTGGCTGGGCCGGCTCAGTCCCACTCCGTTCAGGGCCAGGACTCTGAAGATGTAGTGTGCGTGTGGGGACAGGTTCAGGTGAGCGGTGGTCTTCATCCCAGACACCTCGGTCAGATTGTGCCAGTGGCCTCTGTGGTGCAGCGCGTCTTCGTACTGAATGATAAACTCTGCGTAGGAAATTATGATGTTATTAACAGACGAGAGATGGAAATGCAATCTGTAGACATGTCGGGTAGATAGTTTGGTAATGCAGAGGAGATTAAATGCAAAACTAGTCACACAACGTCACTCAAGCTGCAGAAAAAATAGATATTTAACAAAAAAGTATATATTTAAATTCATCACCACTATAGCCCGGACTTGTGGTCTGCGAGGGACATTTATCGACATTTATGCCCATTGGTCATCTCGCTCCCTATGTGTTTGTTATCATTTGCATTGTGTTTGAACTGCTTGATTCTCTGATCTGTTGTTGGCAAATCTCCAATTTTGTTAAGTTCTCCAAAACACCTGTTGTTGTAATTTAGAACTATACAATGGAAATGAGTTGAATGGGATATATACAGATAAAAAAGTATCACTATACAATCAACATTATGTATTTTTTTTGAGTTCATTGATGACCATTTTCCATTGAAATTGCTTCATGTCTAGTTCACTTCCATTAGGAGCTGTGAAGAGGATTATATTTGAAGCTTTCAAAAAGAGTATGGGACACAATGAATTCACTCCAGTGCAGAAGAGGAATACACTGACGAGAGAAATCACAAAAAGAGGTTTTGTATAACATAGTGTGAAACATCTTTCCTGGGGCAATGCTTACAGGATTTATGACAAAAGCAAACAGCGTCAAGAAGGAGGCATATTGCATTTTTAAGCTTATTTTGTTCTGATACAAAAACATGATAGATAGGTACAATAATTAAGTATCTATCTATCAATCATTTTATTGTATCAGAATAAAATAAGCTCAAAACACTTCGTTGTGACACATCCTACACTAGATGTTGTCTTTTATTTAGTTTAGTTCATAATGCGGATACGTACTGTCAATCGGGCTGTTGTGCTCGTCCCCAGGGGTCCACGTGAGCTGGACACTCCTCCTCTTGGGCTCCGTCAGCTCCAGGTCGGTCGGAGGGTCAGGGTGCTCTGGACGAGGGACAGTGCACCGCAGTGAGACGACATTTACGAACAGTTGCATAACAAGCGAGCACATGCAAGGGAGCGGTCATGAGGACGAACTGAAAACTGATCGGTTCAATGCCATTCAATGAGGAACTTTCATTTCCATCTCCTTACAATGACAGATTGCTGGTCAATACAGTTTCAAAAAATGAAAATAAACTGCTGAATTTTCGCAAAAAGTCTATGGATGTTACAACTATAGGCCGTATATTAGGAATGGATTGAATGTGCAAGAAGCCAATTCCAAGCTATAGCGCAAGCCAATTTCCTTATATGGGCATTTGCTAGCTTCCCGCCATAAAATAGATAGATAGCTAGATAGACATCAGCTTTGGAGCCACCAGTATAGCTTTCCAACCCCCATTCCATGTAGCTCCCCAATAGATTTGAGAATTTGAAATAAAATAATTTACTGAATATTTAATCTATTATTCACATGTGCACGACAATTGTATAAACGTACTCCCTTTGCGCGCTAACAAACATGTGATGATATATAATGACTGTTCGTAGAGACAGTCTCCGACCTCAGGCTTGGCTATCACAAAAAGAAACGTCTGCTATTTTTTCCCAAGAAACTCTCCACCATTTGAGTCTGAAAAAAGTAGCCATCTCTGTGAAAAAGGTTGGAGACCCCTGAACGAGAGAGTCAGCACTGTCCATCTATCTACAGTCTATGGTTACAACTGTTACACAATGTCCCTGTCAAATGAACTAATAACATAAAACAAAACTATAGAGATTGGAGTCTTATGTTACTATAGCTGACATAAGAATCCACTCAATTCATATTCCTCTTGAAAGAACTTTAGGAAAAAAATGACTCTAATGTTGTTTACAGCAGTAATTATAGATTAACTAAAAGAAGAAAAAAAAACACTTTCTTTTGTATAAACACAGACGCTGCTTCGTGCATGCATAATTAAGTGTGGTCTAGTTGAGCGAGACAGAGCCACGGAGAGGGCTCAATGATGCTTATATTTAGATACTGATATTGATGATAATGTGGAAGGCATGCTTTGAATACATTTAGTGCAAAACAATAAGAGCTAAGAAGGAAAAAGTAATGATTTAAAATGTTTCTTTGCATTCGCTCGCGTGTCACATACAGATGGAATACATTCAGGCAATTTGGGGGTAAATGAAATCATTTGTTTCCCATTTGTCATAAACAGAAAGCATCCTTGGATACAGCATGCGTCACATACTGTAAAACATCACAACAGCAAAGTTTGCACTGGTTTACCATAGACAACGGGTGGAATGGGCGTGACCTCTGTCGGACAGGTAGCAAGTACAAAAGTTATATAACCAGTTAGTCCTAAAAGCACTTGGGATTGCTGAGGAAAAGGTTATGCTGGTCACAGAAATGTCGATGCGAAAACACATATTATGAACTGGATATATTCTACAATAAAGGAGATGCAGAGGTACACTGCAAAAAGTGATGAAGAATAAGTATTGCTTAAATTTTGCAAAATGTATCTTAATTTGAGCACAGTTTGAAAACAGAAAGAAGACTAAATGGCTTTGTCCCATTGGAGAATCTTGTTTTAAGACAGTCAGAATGCACTCAAATTCAGATATTAACCACTCGATTCAAGCAATTAGTACTTTACCATATTTAATCATTTTTTGCAGTGTAATTACAAGATTAGATCAAAACAAGATTCTCAATTGAGTGTGTAATGAGTGTTATGATCTTACCAACTACAGTGAGCTCAGCCCTGGCCACGTCCTGGTCCAGAGTGGTGTTCATGATGCAGGTGTAGACTCCAGCGTCACCGTCGTTTACATCGGTGATGGTCAAGCTGTCAGAGTCCACGACCAGTCTGACGGACAGAAAAGCAGCAAACTTATCACATGACCCCTTCAAGCCAAACCAAATGAGCTAAGAGTTATAATAATTTTGGACAATACGTTTTAAGTCTGGATTGAGAGAACTTGAGATATACTCATTGACATGTAATGGTTTTTTCTAATCTGCAATTGTATGTAACTGTGTGTAACTTTTGCTGCCTCTGGTCCAGGACTCCCTTGAAAAATAGGTTCTTAATTTCAATGGGGCTTTCCTGGTTAAATAAAGGTAAAATAATAGCAAAAAATAATGTTACTGGAGCAATCCAATGAGTACGCAGATTCAATCCAGTTTATTTTTGTATAGTCCTAAATAACAAAAGCAGTTGTCGCGGAGGACTTTTCAAAATTGATTTGCCAACAAATCAAAGAATCAAACAACTCAGGAAACGCATTAATAACAAACACATAGAAGCCGTTGATCTACAGGGAGCTGGATGACCAATGTCCATAAATATTAAACGTAAACATAGTCCCAAACCGGTCTGCGCAGAATTATATCCTTTACCTTGCTGATCAGTATGAGCCTTGTGGTGCTTGTAACTTTGCATTAGCACTCAAACTTTGGAAGAGTAATTGTAAAATAAAATCTCAATCATATACTGCCTATACACAAGCACACGGTCTGAAAATAATGGAATAATTTACAGCACAAGTCATTTCATTTCTGCCGCGTTAAATTAAAACGCGCCGTGTTTCCTGCTTTCGATCCAACGTAATGAACACAACCAGAACAATTAAACTCATGCGGTGAGGGGCCGTATACTTCCAATGATGTGTTCAAGTAGCCTATATGCATCTTTTTCTAACACAAGCATAACTCAGACCTGTGCTCTTACATGTGTCCGCTGGTCCTGTCTCAGTATAGTATCCGGTTAAAGACAAGATAAAAATAAAATACGCCTTGATTGGTCTCTCATCGGGGAAATTACAGCAGAATAAACGGGAGACACATGAAACAGAATTTACTATTTAAGATAATAGATATAGATATTCATTATTATCTTAGATTTATTCTTTTTAATGCATTGTGGCTATTTATTATTTTTATCCAATGTGTGTTTGGAATGTTTGGAATTGTGATTTTATTCTGTTTTTAATATTTCTTGTGTTTTTGAGAGTATATGTAGATTTGAATGTTTATGATTGGCTTGATATGATGTGGGTTGTGAGGCGCTTTGTGTTGCCTTGTGTAGGAGAGGCGCTATACAAATAAAAGTTGGTTGGTTGGTTGGTCATATAAAATAATATTGACGATGAGATATAACTCTGGAGCTATAATTGCAGCGTATATGGAAGAGAAACGGTTGGATGCAGTTAATGAAATTGGACTATGGCGAGTGATGCTATTTTCACTGTTGCTATGGGAACGTGTTTGATGAAAGATGGCTGACCTGTCGTCGTCGGGCAGCTCGTCGTCGTCCTTGAGCCACGTCATCGTCGGGATAAGCGTTGGGTCGTGTTTGACTTTACACTCGAACACGGCCGCTCTGCCTCTCTGCACCACTCTGTACTCGGGCTGTTTGAGGATCCGCGTTGGTTCTGGAGTCCAAAAAAAGAAGGAAAAAATGACATAAACAGTAACTATACCTCGACACCAGGGGTCTCCAAGCTTTTTCAATCGGAGAGCTAATTTCATATGACAGAAGAGGCAGAGAGCTACTCAGCTAAAATATACCATAATACTGTTTAACCCTATATTTATACTTATGATATAATAGAGATAGATCATTTGCTAAATTCTATATCCTTTGGGGAGCTACCTGAAAGGGGCTGGCGAGCTAATGGTAGCTATCGAGCTACAGGTTGGAGTCCCGTTCTCTACACAAATAAGTAATTACAGTAACTTTGAGTTCTACAATTACTATTTCTTTTGATGTCTTTTTTTTCTTGTCTGTTGCTTTCACTTATGTAGGTGTGTGTGTATGTTGGTATATGTATCTTTGTGTGTATAGATTCAAGATTCAAGAATTAATTTGCCATTTGCAGTAAAACCACATTGGAAAAACCTGTGCAAGTCTACCATGTATGTATATGAGTGTGAAAATATATGAATACAGTGTGTGTGTATGTGTGTACGCCAGATGTAGTTTATTGTATTTAATCTATAGTTAGTCATTGTTTTTTTTTTTTTGTGTGTGCGTGAAGGTTTTCAGTTCCAGTCACATTACCTTTCACCTCCAAATAGACATGATTTTCCGAGATCCCGAGCATGTTCTTCGCCACACAGGTGTATTTGCCACCGTGTTTTCCCTGGACGCCATCAATCTCCAAAGAGCCATTGTTGTGGACTTTGTACGGGTCTGTGTTGAGGGTACTGGCTCGAGTGTCTTTGAACCTGACACAAACATGACATTCAACATATATTCTTGACGTAATATTACTTTAACCAAACATGCTGCAGTTAATTGCCTCACCAAGTAATTTCAGGGATGGGCGATCCAAAAAAACTGCAGTCTAAAAGGGCCTGGTGGTTTTTGATGACTTGGTAGACTTTGTGGGCCGGAGTCAGCACTCTGGGCGGCTCCGCTGCAGTGGAGCGACATCAGTTATACCTTATTACTATTGCTCAATCAATCTAAACGGGCCAAGGATGCTTTCATGCATAGAAGTAGCTAAAAAATACTTACAGAGGACGTTGACAAAGGCGTTAGACATGAGGTAGCCATATTCGTTAGAGATATTGCACTGATACACAGCTTTTGATCCAGTCTGGACGTTGGTGAAAATGATAGTGTCATCGTCCACATTTCTGCTCAGGTCGCGCGGAGAATCTGTCAAAGCAGAATCAAAATAAGTAATCAAAAAAACACTTAATCACTTTATGTATGTCCTATGTGTATATACTGTAGCTTTGACCTATAGACAGATAAAGGTATATCCATATTTTGATATTGAAGCATTTACAGCTAGCTAAAACATATATTCAGGATTTTCTTTACCTAAGTCTTGCTTCTTCATCGCGCTATATTTTTTTTATTTCCTTATTGTGCTAAAGAAAGAGATTTTATACTGCTTCTTTTATGCTAGAGTTAGAGATTATATTTTATTTTAGTATAGAGTTATTATTAATTTATCTTTTGCTGTGTGCTCTACATTCCAACTGTTCTGTAACTTGTGATGCAACACTGAAATTTCCCCACCGTGGGACGAATCTTAATCTAAAAAATAGCAGCTACTCGTATTGTATATTTTGTGTGCTCCCTGTGTGTTCTTCATCTATATCTTAGGTACCCCAGCTTTAATAAGCAACACATTTATCCACATTCTTTGAACAATGCTCACTCTCTATGGGAACGCCGTTCATGGCCCAGCTGATGGAGGGTTTGGGAGTTCCACTGGCTCGGCATGTCAGCGCCCCGCTCTCTCCAGGGGCAAGGATCAGGTTTTTAGGAGCACCGCTAATCCAGTACGGAGCAGCTGAGGAGAGAGAAGAGGACGGGAGATGCATGAGTGAGTCCACATGTCGCAGTTTTGACATCTGCAAATCAATCAACCAATTTATAAAAGATTTCAACACAGGGAGACTTTTCTGGAAAGATTATACTGTATTTGAATAGAGCTGCTCTAGTTTCTCACTGCAAAAAATGATAAAATATGAGGAAATAATTGCTTGAAACGACAGTCTTAGAACAAGATTTGCCAATGGGATGAGCCATTTAGCCTTATTTCAAGAATCTTTGCTTGATTTCCTCATTCCAAGGGAGAGATTTCTTGCTTGTCCCATTGGCAAATCTTGTTTTAAGACAGTCAGAATGTGCTCAAATTAAGATTCATTTCGCCAAATTTGAGCAATTTTTTACTTTTTTTCCCCATCACTTTATCTATGGCTCGTACAACCCTGGACCTCCCACCCTGGACATGTGGACTAGTCCCCAGTCTACCATTAGAGAGTTGGCAGATCAGTGACAGCCTTCTAGATGGCCGACAAAAAATATTTATTTTAATTGATTTGCACTGCAAAAAAACGGATAAACGATGGGTAATAATTGCTTAAATCGAGTGGTTTTATCTGGATTTGAGTAAAACAAATCTTATTTCAAGAACTGTTGCTTTATTTTCTCATTCCAAGGGAGACACTTCTTGTATCTTTCAAAAACAAGATATTTTTTCTTGTAACATTGGCAAATCTTGTTTTAAGTCAGTCAAAATGTACCCAAATTTAAAATACATTTTGCCACATTTGAGCAATTTTTGACACATTTTTCATAACTTTTTTTCACATTTGTTGAAAGATGTGGGATAGGTAGAGACAAAGGCATGGTGTGTGGATACAGTCATGTTTTGTAGAACCTTTCACATGTTAAAAAGTAGAACTAACATTTACGCCTCATTCCCACTTGGTTATGTAATTACAGATATGTTCAAACTGCTTTTTTTCCCCTCCAAACTCACCTTTTACCGTCACGTGGGTCGTGTGGTGCTCCGTTCCGAAATTGTTCCTGGCAATGCAGCGGTATTCCCCAGCGTCGGATTCGGACACGTTGACGACCCGCAGTGTTTTCTGATAGTGCAGGAAGGTGGTGCGCTCGGCTGGCAGGTCTCCGCTCACTTTGGTCCAGGTGATTTCGGGGGTTGGCCTGGCGTTCACGACAAGAGAGAAAAACGGTTGATCGTGAAATTACGGCGAGCGGAGCAGGTGGCGTCTGCAGCTATAGCGCGTTCTTGTACTCACAGGCCTTCAGCGATGCACTCCATCTCCAGCACCTGGCCTCTGAGCACAATCTTGGAACTAGATGACCCAGATGGAGTGAGGAAGGTTGGCCGTCGCTCATCGGCTGGCTCCTCTGCATTCACATAAACACACACACACACACAGTTATGGCCGATCTACAGTAAGCGTTTCTATCTCACTCATCTCCCCATGTTTTAGCACGTATCACAACATTACGGATTTAATCATGTCCACGGGCTCTAGCAGAAGGCCAGCTCATTTGAGACCAGACCACTATTGTCATATTTCATGGTTTTTTCTTTTATAATCTTGGAATGTGGAAAATGTGGCTGCTTTAGTTTTAAGGATGTGTGTGTTTGTTTTATAGATTTGCCTCTGGGGTGGCAATGAGGATCAATGGGAAGGTGGCCTCGAACAAATTAAAGCAATACGGAGACGTGATGCACATTTGGACTTTTGCAAAACAAAAATAAATAGTGTTTCAGCAATGAGATTATTCATTGCTTTTTTTTTACGAGAATTGCAGATACAAATCATCCGTCTTTTGGCATCCATCCAATTTGCATTTCTAACTCTGCAAAAACATCTTTGGTAGTTTGTGGCATAGGAAGGTAGGAATCCTCCAGGAGGTTTTTCAGAAATTTGATGTGAAAAAGACAAACGTAGAGCCCTGAAATTGTATAAAAGAAAGAGAATTTCTATTGTTATTATTCAACGGTGAATCACTAAATCCATGAAAATAAATGTAATTATATTAATGGGATGAGAGTTTATACGCTTTTTCTTCTTCCCACTCCATTTTGAGCTGATAAATTGCTAATAATTTAAAATTATCAATACATGGTGAGACTGTTAAATACTGGTTGTATGTATGCAAAATATATTTAATTTAATTTATAGGCATCTCCTTAAAGATATCATTACAAAGGGTAAATATTGTAAACTACCTATTCATGTAATAATTGCTTGAATAAATGAATTATATAAAAAAACATTAAATGACTAAAATCACTAGAACTAAATAAAAGTTTGGAAAAAATTAGCTAAACGTTTGTGGGGAGCCAAGTCACTGTATAGAAAGTTCCCTGGAGTCTGTTATTATGGCACCTAAAGGGGTTAACAGGTGATGGGGTTAATAAGGGAAAACAAAACACAAATGCATGATAAAATGTAAAGTACATAATGGAGAGATTTAGGATGAAAAGATGATGAGAAACCCAAACGCATGAGACAAACACCAATTGCGCTGATTTAAAACAATTTCGATATTTAGCTGCTTGACAATTTCTATAAATACAGATATAGTTTTTATTAGTTGCAGTGCTTAGTAATTAAAAAGAAGGTTACGTTTCTCAGTCGATTATTAATAGTAAGGGTAATAGAGTTTTGAAAATTACAGTGTTGGTATACAGTGGTTAGTATGGGAAAGGTAAGTCTATAAGGATAGTGTAGGGGTAACCACCAGAGGGAGCCACATCTCAGCAGAATATGCCCCAATACCACCATGAAAACCATGGTTAGTTGGACTGAAGAGGTTAGTGGAGGCCGGGCTGAATGGAGGAGATACTTGGGGGCGCCAAAACTCACCACTAAACCAATCAGTTTCATTGTAAATAGCAGCCACTGTTTCATTGATTGCATCCACTGTAACACAACAAAAACAAGCAAAAACACACCACACATTTAAAAGAGTAAAAGCGAAAACTTAAAAAAAACAGAAATGTGAAATATGAATTAAATTATAACTGAAGGAATGCCAGATGGATCAGAATGAGAGCCGTCTTTGTTGATGGAAAGGACGGGACGTTTCACTGAGCCGTAAAACGAACGCCTCCCAAATGCAGATAACACACAGATCTCTGACAATATGTCTTTTGAGCAGAGCCACGACCGTTGCCGTTGCCGCGGATGGACTCCGAGATAGGAAATAGCGTTCTCCTCCTACGCAGCCAATGCCGACAAACACACACACACACACACACACACACACACACACACAGCACTGTGCAAAAGTTTGACTGAGGTAGAAAAATGGAAACCAAGAATGGCGGTGTGTGAATACTGGATTATATTGTGTATGTATGAAGACTTCTGCACAGTATATTACAAGCAGGACACAAGCACGAGAGAGAAAGAGAGAGACAGAGGAGAAAGAGAGAGAGAGACAGAGAAACAGACACAGAGACAGTCTGTGAGAGAGAGAGAGAGAGAGAGAGAGACAGAGAGTCAGAGATAGACAGAGACAGAGAGAGACAGACAGACAGAGAGAGACAGACACAGAGACAGAGACAGAGAGAGAGAGAGAGAGAGACAGAGACAGAGACAGAGAGAGACAGACACAGAGACAGACAGACCGAGAGAGAGAGACAGAGAGATAAAGAGAAACAGAAACAGACAGAGACAGACAGAGAGAGAGAGAGAGAGAGAGAGAAAGAGGGAGACAGAGGGAGAGAGAGAGACAGAAAGAGAGCAAGAGAGAGAGCAGTAAAACTGGTTTGACTGAGGTAGAAACATGGAATCCAAGAATGGCGGTGCGTGAGTACTGGATTATATTGCGTATGTATGAAGACTTTTGCACAGTATATTACAAGCAGGACACACACACACACACACACACTCACAAAACGAAGGCACTCTCTGGGTCCGGGTTTTGCCTTTATACGTGCGGGACTTACGGCTGAGGACTTTGACAGTGATGGGCTGCTTCTGCTGGATGGTCTGCGTGTAAGGGAAGCGGGCGTAGCAGATGTAGTCGTTTCTGGAGTCGGAACGCAGCACGTTGGAGAAGTACAAGTCCCCGTTCAGAGACTGAGACACCCGCGAGCTCAGGGGCAGTCGCTGGAAGTCTGTCACACAGAGAGAGAGGAGAGAGAGAGAGAAAGACAGAGACATACAGAGACAGAGAGAGACAGAGGCAGAGAGAGAGAGACAAAGACAAAGAGACAGAGAGATAGAGAGAAACAAAGAGACAGAGACAGACATAGACATACAGAGACAGACCGAGAGAAACAGAGAGAGAGAGAGAGAGAGAGACATACAGAGACAGAGAGATAGAGAAAAACAGACAGACAGAAACATACAGAGACAGAGAGAGGCAGACAGAGACAGAGAAAGACAGAGGCAGAGAGAGACAGAGAGAGAAAGACCGAGACAAAGAGAGAGAGACAGAGAGAGACAAAGGCAGAGAGAGAGACAGAGACACAGAGAGATAGAGAGAAAGAGCCAGAGCCAGAGCCAGAGACAGACAGAGAGAGAGAGAGAGAGAGAGAGAGAGAGAGAGAGAGAGAGAGCAGTAAGAACTGGTTACAAACAAGGAGCTTCTATTGGGAACAAGTTATCAGAAATAGGGGGTATGATCACATACATCAAAAAAGGCCAAACAAGTATTAGAACAAGCAAAAACAGATATTGACACTAGAGCCCTGCACGGGCCTATTATCTGGGCCCGAGCCCGGCCCTGGCCCGAGGGGGTGGCGCCCCAGCACGGCCCGGCCCGATATGGTTTCTCAATTTTCAGGCCCGAAACCCGCATCAAGCCCGCCTTTTTTTTTTTTTTTGTAACCTCCCATAACAATGTTTTATAGTGCCGCGCACTGATATGAACCCAGACTTAGCTAGAGGGCGGAGTTATACATGGTAGTGATGTGTTGCAATGAGTTCTGTGTGTGTGTGCGGAGTGGTGCAGAGTGAACGGCCGCATCTGTATGATACACAGCTGTATGATACACAGCTGTATGATGCCCAGATGCTGCAACACACCTGTAAGTAACGCTATGTGCCGTCAATGACAACACTACACAGAACAACAAACACTACAGCGTGATAGAACGCTATATTCAGTGGGTGCGTTCGTAAATGTATTCTGCCGCTCTGAAAATGAAGAGCCCGAGCCCGGCCCGTGTCCGAGGTCATTATGCGGTCATCGGCCCGAAGCCCGGTCCTCGGGCTGTCGGGCCGTCGGGGCCCTCGGGCCAAGGGCTCAAGTGCAGGGCTCTAATTGACACCCAAAAATGTCTTGTATAAATTCCAGACAGTTTTTCTAGATTCTTTCTTAATTCTATGTATCTGTATTACCCTTTGAATGTGGCAGTAAGTCTGAGCCTTTTGGTTTGTGTAATTGTATTGTAAATATTGATAACCAAATTAATATTTTCATTGCACTAAAATATATCGGAAACTTGGTACTGCTTGGAAAAGACAAAATAGTTTTTTCGAATGGCACCGATCCATTTTTTACAAATAAACGCTTTTATTTATTTATTTCAAGCTGTGGATTCATCGCTTAAACGTTGCCAGAATTTCATCAGTGCATTACGCGCCATTCTCCTAAATCTAAAATCCTCCAACTTAATTCTTGCGATTAGGAATGTGACCCAATTGTCTCAACATCCGCAAAATGTCTACCTGAACAGAATGATATACTGAAAAAAGTCTTACTAATGTCCATCCAGAAAATGATGGGTGGAGGCAAACCAGCCGGGGGTCGACATGGCAACACCAACGGCACTCCTTCCTTCACCACGATGGGTTTGATGTTCTCCTTTGGCCATAAGGGCGATCCTGTGTTTATGCAAAAGACAAGAGCTTTAGTGTCAGAAGAACAACATTTAACTGAATATATGGAAACAGAGATGACAGAATCGGTAAAGGGAGAGGATGGAAAAACAGCACAACGCTTCAAAGAATGCCAATATCACCGCAAAAAGTACCGTATCTTCCAACAATCTTAACAAATCCAAGTTACTTTCATAAAGAATATATATCATCTTTATCATTAACTGCTTGGTTGGCCATATTATTCTCATATCTGAAATTCCCTTCTTCTGGCCAACATCATGCATGTGTTTTTGTTTTATTTTTGTCACCACTACCACCACCTTTATGAGAAAGTATTCAGATCATAGTTGATACAGTAGGTACTGACAGAAGTGGAACAGAGAGTTATTGTTTCATGAGGATTGGCTATAATTAGCTTTATAATTAGCTTGATTATCTATAAACTAAGACGAGGGACTGATTTTTGACAGTTACTCCAGTTTCCAGCAAAGACTTTTCAGCTGCCCTTCATCACAATATAAAACATGTATGCTCTTTTATATGTTGTGATGTCACATGAACTCAACCTATTGAATAAGACTTGTTTTTGTGAATATACAGTATTAGTACATTTTATCAGAACCATTTTATCTTTACTGACTGATGCAGCTGAAATACATTTTTCAAAAGTCCACTCACTGGATTGCCAAACTACGATGTTGTGAGACAGGGCGGTCCCGTGGTCGTTGCGTGCTGTGCATTGGTAGACGCCCTCGTAATGCTCCGCCTTCACATGACTGATGTCCACAACCAGCGTTCCGGAGCGCGGCCTCATGTGCACGTTAGGAAACTGATCGATGTCAAAGTGCGTCCCGTCTCTGGTCCAGGAGAAGCTGAAGGAGAGATTTGCATTTATTGTAAATGGTTTTAACTGAAATGAATAGAACAATGGAAGAGTTCCTTTGCAAAACAGATTTCTGTGTCAAAAAATAGCACTACTCTGGTGACAATCTTCAACATGTTTTGTTATTGGCATTAAATCGGAAAGAATTTTCTCAAGAAAATATTTTTTTTTTATGGCACTAAAATGTGTTTGCATTATCCCAAATGACTTGGTAAATAGCAAATTTTACGTATTTCCAATATCATAAATATTATATTAAAAAATAAGAATAAGAAAAATAAATGTAAAATAAATAAATACATTTGAACAATGTCTGCCTCAGAAAAAACATTATACTGTACGTAACATATATTTTATGGTTGAAATACTGTATCCCTGTGCTGGCAAAACATAAATGCATCAATGAAGAAGTCTGACTGGTCTAGAAAAAGTCACTTTGGGAGAAAGTCATAATGTGAAATATGTTGAGGTCGGGCGAGCAAAAGTCTCCGGCTTCTCCCTCAAACTCAAACAAACCAAAGCTAAGCCTGATTCCATCATCTCCCTACACAGGACCTCAACATATTCCCAACTGCACACAATATCCTGCTGTTTACAGGATTGCTTGCTGTTGCGCCTGCAGTGACAAATATAAATAATACCAAAGCATGGAGCTGTACCTGGGATGAGGTTTTCCTTTGGCCTCACAGTGGATTATTATGTTCTCTCGTGGGTCGATGATGTAATCCTTGGGGGACTGGCGAGTTATGGTCGGTGGCTGCGACACTGAGGGCGATCAAAAGCAGAGAGAGGTTCAATAGTAAGCTTCTTGCATAACTAAGGCCTTTCCGTATATGGACGTATTGACCACACAAGCAGCGGTCATTACTAATACTGTAGCATGCAAAGTCAGGGCTATGGGCGTCGCCGTGGACAGCAGCCACAACAAAAAGCTCTCCAAACATGCGACAGGTAGATCTGACTTGACTCTAACGATCTGCAGGCTGTAATGGATTCCTTTTAGAGCAGAGAAAACGACTAATGGACCTTGACAAAACAAATTATATCATGACTCCATGCTGTTTATATTATGGCTTTATGGAAAGCAGCCTCTCGCCGCACGCATAAAGCATTCAAAAACCAACACGGACAAAATAAAGAAATTACACAGCATGCCAGGTCGATCACTGCAAAAACAAAATCACACGCTATTTTAAAACGAAAACACTTGAAAATGCAAAGACAAAAACACAAAACTAGCTTCTAGCGTCACAGCAATTTTACACTTACATCCTTGAAGAACTTTTGATTTTTTTCCCCCCAAGAAAGAGCAAATATTAACAGAAGAAAAACATTACAATTGAAATGGTATAATGTACAAAAGGTTTTAGGAAAAATGTCTTGATGGCATCGTAGAAAGCAGGGCTGCACGATTTTAAAGATATTTCTAATGGATTTTCAGACTTCTATTATGAAGCTAGGATAATGTTGTGAGAATTACATTTTTAAGGCAAAACTAGTAATTGAGAGATGTTTGAAGTTGTCTTTTTTAGATTCTCACTTGAACACTGTGCTTAAAACCAAGTTGGATGCAACTGGACTTTCCTTTTCTATTAGCGGCAGAAAAAACAGTCAAAATATACTCACATTAATTAGAAACAAGTATGGAGGGTAAATAATGCTTTTAGCCTGCCCTATCCCTATATGCTAACACCAGTGAGAGGTGTAAAATGTGTTTATTTTTTCAACTCCAGGTCTCTGACTAATGAGGAACAATGTTGACACATGGTAAAAAGTGCAAAAAAGTAGGTTTTGGTTGATTTGTATGTCTCCTTTAACCCTTGAATGGTTTCCTCAACTCTGTGGTAGATCACTTTTTGAGTTACTAGATCTACTTGAAGCTTGGAACTGAAATCTTTGTCATTGTGGCAATTCTATCTCTTAGTTTTAGGCACTTTTACAATCAATCAATGATAAATAAATACATTTAAACGTGTCATTGCGAGTGTGTTAAATGTCCTGTACGTGTTTTCATTTTAAGTTGAATGAAGCTGCTGAACTGTGCAAAACAAATTTCTTGTCTCTGACAATAAAGTACTGCTGCATCTCAACCATTTAGTAAAGGCATATAATAATAAAAACTAGGTGTAAAAAAAAACATTAAAAAAATAATTAGTGTTTTTGTGCTCCTTCATCTTAGAAAATCAAGAAAAATGTGCATTGCTTTCTTCAAGAAGTGAACATTAAAGGGCTAAGTTGCAATTTTGATGACTGATTGCTCATACTTTGTGCAGCCCTAATATAAACCTGTACTTTTGGTTAAAACATTTCTGTGAACTGCTTTCTTACGATCAAGTGGCACTTCCAGAGCGGCGGTGACATGTCCCAGGACGAGCAGCTGCAGCAGCGTAGTGACCATTCTCCTCCCCTCCATCATCAGCGTGTCACAACCGAACACAGCCAAGCCTCTTCTTCTCAGTCACATGCGCATTCACACCTGGAGAGACAGGACGAGAAGACACATTAGCCCTATAAGATCGAGTGGCATGTCGCGTTACACAAACCATCAATCACAACAACAGTGAGAGCGGATATAAGAGAGAGAGAGAGAGAGGGGTACGCACTCTCAGATCGATCTGGGTTGCCATGCGCTGCAGTCTTTTTGATCTAGAGCTCTCCGACGGGGCCCGTTGCATCCCACGCGGGCCAGTTTTCGCGGCTAATCGCTACCATAGCATTAAGCCTCTCATCCAAATCAATCTATTCAACACAGCCACAAGGGCAGACGATATTAAAAGTCACTTCTAACTTAATCCGATTGACAGATAAGTTTAATAAAGTTGCACCGCTTTCATATATTTCTACCGTGGATATTACTTTTTGGAGTGCCATACAGTCTCTGGGGAGGCTTCGAGTTCTGGTGAGGTGTATTTAGAGGTGTGGACTGACTGATGATGACACGCTAATGGGCATTGATTAGTTGTTAATTAGGTAGGGATTTCCTTTTGGAGCATTCCGTAACCTAATTATGCATAATATAATTGCAATAATTGTGGTCCAGTGGTGCATGTAGAGCAGTTATCCTTATCATTTTGGAGCTGTGTCATTTAAGATAATCATATACACACCACAAGCTGGAACTGATACAAAAATGAAACGCTGCAGGTTTTAATCACAATGTAAAGTCATTCTCAAAGCGTATGTTATAGAAAACCAAACAAGAACATAAAGTCTTTCTAATCTCGCAGTATTTTCAATTTCACGTTATTTTGACCAATTAGGTGATATTGGATCATTTCCAAAAAAGGCACAGCAAACAACAGCTCCAGGCTCACTGACATGCCGACAAAAAAACGTACAATAAAGTAAAATGCCTTACCCAATAGGCGCCACAGTAATTTTCTACATCCTGGATCTTTCCACACATCGACCTGGCTTACCACAAACAATTCCCCACTTTTTTCTTTTATTCATTTCTGTTTCATGGATCCAACTTCTGTCTGTTTCACATTTCTGCCTAAAGGATTGAATATATATAAATAGCCTACAATAAGTAGGTATCGTGGATTGCTTACAAAGAACCATCTGCAAAAGCACTCCTAAACAAAGACAGGAAGCAAAAATACCTTGACGACATCAAACTGAACAACAAAATTAGAGAAATGCAGAAAAGGACACAACTTTCTAATTAGATTCCACCCATTAAATTGTAATCGGGAGACTTGCATAATGATCAAACAGTGGTGTTAATTAATGTAAGTGATGCAAACAGCTTTACAATGTGCTTTGTGCAACACCATTGTTCAGAACTCGCGCCCCGTGGCTAAGGGTATGGTCCGGACTGCAAAGACGAGACCTTTGGGAGTCTGTAGCCTTTGGTCGTGCCGGGCCGAGGCTGGGGCTGGGGCGTCCTACGGGAGCACGCTGATTTGTTACAACGGCCCTTCAGTCATGATTCAACAGAAGCCCCGGAGCAGAGGCATCAGGGGAGCAGAGCCGAGGCCCAGTGTGAGCCTCTCTGGGGAGAAATAGGCCCGTATTGTCGGCCCCTAGCAGCCAATCACTCCGCTGTACACACCATCCGGCAGCGTTGGCCTGGGATCTGACAGGGGAAGATCCATGGGGGCAATTTGATTAAGCTCATTTGCAGGCTGCAGGCGAAGGCGCGGGAACCATACGGAGCATCAAACTGACGACGAGCGCTTAACAACAACGTGATAAATGTGAGACGCTTACAATGCATGAGTGAAGCCAGTGATGTGACCTTGGATCAATACGTCCAGGATTTCATCTTTTCACTATCAGAGCGAAGAGAGTAAATGTAGTGTTTTTTGGACTAATGCCAATTTTGGGGGGTTTTGTTTGGTAAAAATGCCAATGTCTTTCTTCCATGTATAAAATAAGGCTTGATTATGTGTCCATGATCACAGATATGCAGATTTTCAAGCTAATATTTAGTGGATCTAAGCTTAATATGATGCATGGCAAGTGGCAGGATGACTTGGCTTTGTGTTTGAAAACATTTAACAAGTAAATTCTGCAGATTCAAAGCTTTAAAATGAGGTGTAACATGGTGTGGGGGCTGTAACTTCCTATAATTACTCAAATCTACAATCTCGCTTGATTACCAATGTCTATCAAGATTTTAAAAATGTCTGATTTTATTTAATTTGCAATACAATAAATCAGTTGTCTGGTATAGAAACTGATACATTTGAGTTAATTTTCTGAAGAAGTAATCGTCGTACTAAATCACAACAGTAGTCATCTCGGAGGAAGTTGTCGATTTGCCAACACAGGTAAGAGAATCAAACAGCTTGAACACAGGAAAATGCAATAATAACAAACACATAGAAGCCATTGGTCCATAGGGGATCTCCATAAACCCATCTTGGGACCTATCTCCATAAATGTGAATTAAATGACATAAACGTGCTATGATCCAAGTTACTACGGTTTTATTGTAGATTATTCTAATTCTAGACAAAAACCAAGATTGGATTCACACAAGAATTAGTCCCAAATAAACAGGTGTGTCAAATGTCCGAAGTCCCCAGATTGTTACAAGGTTTGACGTCAATATATTTCTTCCAAGATAATTATAACAAAATGTTCCCAAAGCTACCATAGTCCAGCCAGCCGTCGCACAGAAACGGCTAACGACAAAGGGGAAAACGGCAACAGCAAGTGAGAAAATAGTTTCATTATACATTTTATGGTGACTCCTACAGAAAAAAAAAAAAAACTACGATACTGATCTGGAGAGGAGCCAAGACTTTATCCAGGATTCATTTCCTGGTGTAATGAGGTGACTTACATGTTTCTAGGCTGTCATTGTATTTGTTATTTTTTCCATTGACTCAATATTTCAACCCAACCCAACCCAACTGTCTGGAAAATGTCTTTACATTTATCAGATAACAATTATAATTTCAATTTCAATTTTAATTTTGGGTGTAAAAAAGACCAGAACATTTTGTCTTTATCATGATAGAATTTTTTTTATCTTTAGCATACTTGTAAGCCAAACAATTGACAATTTTGGCTAAAAACGTTTTTTTTTTTTTATGAAGAGCCCTGTGAGTCACTTTTTCATATATTTGGGATGAGAGCTGATTGGAAGAGTGACTGTGGTCTTCTCTTTTACTTTTCTGTGTGAAAAAGATTGACTAAAAATGCCAAAAATGTCAGGAACTATAGTGATATGGATTTCCTTAGGTAAAATTTTTGTGATTTGAAAGCTATCTCCTGCATACTCCAGTCTTTTGTATTCACAAAATCCTCCGGTGCGTTGAATACATAGTTATCATCCTACAGGAGACATTTACTCAGAAAACATCTATCAGTATTGTAAAAAACCTGCGGTGGATGTTGCGCTGTGTGAACAGAAAAAGCCTCGGTCAATATTGCTCATGACCAAAGAGTGCTGAGGCGCAGATAAAGACCAGCTCGTGTTCGGAGTCAGCGGTGCCAAAGTCTGTCAGACGAATGATACAACCTGCAGAACGAGAACAGCTCTTTAACAAGTGACGGGGCGAGGAAACACAAATCTGACAAACCCTTTCCTTAAATGACACCGGTACATTCTACAGTTCAGAGACTGCATGCACTTACAACAGTCTATTAAAAAACCAAGTCCTCTTTAACCAACCGTATATTCATTTGGCGAAACAATCCAGACTTGTACATAGAAAGTATAGAGCATTATATTAAGCATGAATGACGTAAATATTCGTTGGTTCAATAGAGGAAAAATAAGTTGCAACATTTAGTTATTACTTACTTTTCATATTCTGATCCTTGTAGTGGTAACGTTTGCTAAATAGAACAGTAAGACTTCTCAATAAGTGGATGGGCTAAAATAGTTGTGGAACTTAGATAGAACTTAGACTGCTGGATGACCTTAAAAAAATTGAGTTAAACGTGCTAATCAGTGGCCCCATTCCAAATGCAGATGGAAAAATCGAGAAGTTTAGCCGTCTGTACCAGTTAAATTCATTTCTACACAATGAGTGTTCACGCAGAGGACTTGGATTCATTGAAAACTTCAATCTGTTCTGGAATAGGCTCGAGCTCTTTAAAGGGAAAGGCCCACATCTGAACAAATACGGAGTAAAAGTGTTGATGGATAACTTTGCATCTGCCTTAAGACCTCAGCCTGCGCAGCGCGTTCAGCCGTTGAAAGAGAGGAGGATACAGAGGGCGAGACCCTCTCCACGGAACCCAGAGGTCTCGGCACCTCCACCGCCTCAAAAGAACTCAACACGTCCACCAGCATCATCATCAGCAAAGGATCCAGCACCAGCAGCAGCAGTGGCTGCCACAGCGTCATCAGCGCCTTCAGCATCAGCACCACCAGACCCAGCAGTGGCTGCTGCATCATCTTCAGCAGCACCTTCCCCACCTACAGCTCCCGTGAAGCCCCCCCCCATTGCTCCAGGCTACAGTCAGGCCTGCACTGGGGGCCTCTCAACCACCTCCGTCTCCACCAAAGACTCCCTCATCACCTTCCATGGACCCGGTTTGGGTCCCCCCCGCTACATCCACTCCATCTAAGGAACATGAGGACGACCTTTCCCTGTGTTTTCCATCACTATTGGATTTACCGGAACACTATGCAGGCATGATAAGCTCGGCGATGAAGAATATTCCTCTCACACCCACTGTAGCCAGATCAAGGGTCCTATCTAACATTCATAACTTCTCCCCATACGTACCTCCAAAGCCACCTAGGGCGTCCAACTCAAATTCTCCCACAAAATCCACCCGTCCCTCAAATTCTAACTCGAATTCACCCGCAAAATCCACAGGTCCCTCCCCTAACCCCAAAACCATTCCAGCCCCACCCCCACCCCCCCCTCGTTTCCCATCACCAAGAACCCCTCCACCTCCACTCCCCCCTCGTCCATCTCCCAACTCCTGCCCCTCCCCTAA